GAGGAGGAGATCGAGGCCTCAGACATCACTGAACCAGCGGCAGATCATAAGAGGGAGGCGGAGGCTGTCACTGGCTGATGGACACACACACACACACACACACACACACACACACATACAAACACTCATGTATACACGCACGCACACATATATCTATACACACTTGCTCATAGACACACACTGACATATACACACACTTGCTTATACACAGTCACACTCACATACACACTTGTGTATATATATAGATATACACACACATACACCCAGATAAACACACGTGTACATCTTGGTATTGGTGGTTTATGAGGACTCTCCATAGATGTAATGTATATTATTATCACGTTTGATTGTCATGAGACCCTGTAAAGTATGATTTATAAGTGTTTTAAATAAGGGACACAATGCATGTCCTCATAAACCACTGTAATAGAGAACAACCAGCTCATACCCGTGTCATTATACACATTCATGTCCTTGTAAACCACCAAAACCAGTACACACACACTCAACACAAACTCAGGAAATTCTACCGGACAGACCGACCACTCACACACACACACTCTGAAGGATTCACTGAACACATAAACACTGGATCATACACTCGCCCTCAGAAGAACACATCATCATCATCACGAGCACCACAAAGCAGCACCACCTCTCAGTCCCGATCAGGCGGTGTTGATGTCTTAAAGGCGCAGTACACCCAAAACTGATGAGATTCTGTCATCATTTACTCACCCTTAACACACACACACACACAAACACACTAAATAAGATATTTAGCAAACCAGTAACCATTGACTTCCATAGTACACTGCATAAATTGCTTGTTTTTGTTTTGTTTCTAGTCCAAATATCTCAAAATAATCAAATCAAGACATTTTTTCTGCATGAGTAAATCATTTTATCCTGTTTTTTGAAATAGTCAAAATTAACTGAGTTTTTCTTTTAAAACAAGCTAAATAATCTGACAATGGAGGAAGCGAAACAATATTATGTCAAAAGGAAACTCTATTTCACTTTGATTCATTTCAGGAAAAACTCTGGGAAATTAATTTTGACTCATTATTTCTTGAATCAACTCAATATGTTTTGCTTGTCTAGTAAATGCAGCCTAATTTAAGAATTGTTAGATATTTGGACTGGAAACAGGACAAACTCTAAGTAAGAAAAGCATTTTTTGCACTGTATTTGTTTTTTTCTACTATGAAAGTCAATGGTTACCGGTTTCTAACATTCTGCAAATTATCTTCTTTTGTGTTCAACAGAAAAAAAGCTCATGAGTAAATAGTCATCATCTAATATCCATCATCCAGTCATGCATGAACACAAAAGAAGATAACTTGAAGAATGTTAGAAACTGGTAACCATTGATGTCCATAGTGCACTGCATAAAATGCTTGTTTTTGTCTTGTTTCTAGTCCAAATATCTCAAAATGAACAAATCAAGAAGCATTTTCTCGATTAGTAAATCATTTTGTCTTGTTTTCAGAAATAATGAGTCAAAATGAAGAGAGTTTTTCATTAAAACAAGCTAAATAATCTGACAATAGGGGAAGAGAAATAATATGTTTAAAGGAAAAGATTAGTTCACTTTGCTCTCACTCAGTTAATTTTGACTCATTATTTCTTGAATCAACACAATATGTTTTGCTTGTCTAGTAAATTCTGCATAATTTAGGAATTGTTAGATATTCGGACTAGAAACAAGACAAACACTAAGTAAGAAAGGCATATTTTGCACTGTATTTGTTTTTCCTACAATGGAAGTGAATGGTTACCGGTTTCTAACATTCTGCAACATATCTTTTGTGTTCAACAGGAAAACAACTCATGAACTTAATGGATGAGTAAATAGTTCATCATATCCATCATCCAGTTTATGAATTGCTTGTGTTGAACACAAAAGAAGATATTTTGAAGAATGTTAGAAACTGGTAACCATTGCCTTCTATAGTATGAAAAACAAATGCAGTGTAAATCATGCTGTTCTTACTTATTGACTCACTCAAAAACTCAATGGATGAGTAAACCGTACATAAATGTTGATTTTTGGGTGAAACTGAACAGCAGATGAGCCTAAACGGCCCCCATCGGCTTCCATCATATGGTAAAACACATTCTTCTGTGTTTCACTCAGTACTTTTAAAAGGACGAGTAAAGAAAGGTGGCGTTTGTGAACGATTCTTTCGAGTCGATGAGATTTGAGAGCTGTAGCAAAGACTGAACGAACACATAAAGAACGTCACGGTGCTTGTATGGTGTTTCTGAACGTCTCGTCTGCGTAATCTGAAGCTCAGCGTGTTTACATTGACATGAGGGCGAGGAAATGATTCATGTCGTGAGTGAATCAACTCTGATGAATCAATGAAGGAAGCAAGCATTGTGGGATTTCTGATCTAATCATGTGCTTAAAAGCGTTAACTAAAGCAGGAGCGGACTGAACTGACACATGATCTCATCCTGGTGTAAATATAACAAGTTTAAGTGTTTCTAATTCTCTGTCGTCTTTGGTTGTATTTATCGCTCTTGAATTGAGCCAATCAGAGGACCCGGAGGTGTTTGTTTTTATTATCCTGGGCCTCTGATTGGCTGATTGATGGGACTGGAGTTCAGACGCTCCTCTTACTTGTGTGTGTGTATGTGTGTGTGTGTGTGTGTGTGTGTGTGTGTGTGTGTGTGTGTGTGTGTGGATCTCTCTCTGTCTCTCTATCTCTATCAAAAACAAGAAGGTATAGATCTGTAAAATAATTCAGAAAGGCAGGTACTTTAAGTAAACAGGTAAAAATAACAAAAACAATACAAAGATATTTAAGATTTTATTTACAAATAAAATAACAAATAAATGTCTAAGATAATAATGTAAAAAATGAAGAAATCTAAATTAAATATATAAAATCTCTTCGTCTCCTTCAATTCAATGCATTACAAAACTGATTTATTGGCACGACTGTAAATAAAACAACATTGCCAAAACTTTAAATAGGACAAATATATTAATAACAATATTACTTCAATTACAAATGGCTGTATTGGCCTGACTTGTCAAGTATTGCTGAAGCATTGCAGATTACATAAACGAGTTAAATCCTAAAGGGGTTATATAATCATATATACATACAGACAACTGTAATTTTACTTGCACAAAAATTAGAAATGAAGCAAAGACTAATATGAAGATTAAAAAGATAATCATCCTCATATTAGTCTTTGCTTTATTTCTTATTTGTGTATGTAAGACACACTCTCTCTCTCTCTCTCTCTCTCTCTCTCTCTCTCTCTCTCTCTCTCTCTCTCTCTCTCTCTCTATATATATATATATATATATATATATATATATATTTTTTTTTTATTTATTTATTTATTTATTTATAAACAAAGTCTAAAATTATTAGCCCCCCTTTTATTTATTTTTTTATTTTTTAAATGTTTCTCAAAATAAAATATATTGGCTGCGTCCGAAACAGCCTACTACTCAGTAGGAACTACATTTGAATTTACTACTTGACTGTTAGAAAACTACCTTATATACAGAATGAATGCGAGTAGTATGAAGAGAGCTCGGATGTACTATGGATGCCAATTTGTAATCATCGCCAGATATACCTGCCTCAGTTGCGTCGCTTTACTCCCATTCATGAATTCTCTTGCATCATGGTTAAACATATTGTTCATTTGATGCGCACTTCAGAATCTCGCCGGAAGTAGTAGGTCATCCGGGTACTTCTTGCATACTGCTTTTCGAATTCTATGAATTTGGACATACTACTCAGCCCGCATGCTGTTTTTAGCGTACTAAATAGTATTAAAATAAAAGATTTCGAACGCAGCCATTGTGTTCAAAGTGGAAAAAGTTCTTGACTTATTTTAGAGTAGTAATCACAATACCGTGAAATCGTGGTAATTTTATCCAAGGTTATCATACCGTCAGAATATTATACTGGCCCATGCCTATATCAGAGTCTTTCA